ATATATATATATATATATATATATATATATATATATATATATAAAGAAATAGAGAGAAAGAAAGAAAGAAAGAAAGAGAAAGAGAGGAGAGAGAAGAGAGCAAAACGACTCTTTCTCCAATATTTTCCCCCGAGGAAAGTCCGGCTTGAACACTGAAAAAAACGTTTTGCTGATCCAGGTAGAACGTGACATATTAAAATTTATCATATCTATTTTTTGTATTTGCTGGAAAATGGTCTGTAGTACGTAGAATTTAGGGCGGTAACATTCTAGCAATATCTGCCAAGCAAATTTAGGTGATTGTGAGGATTACACATTCGTCTGTCTCTCGTCGCTAGTCTTGTATGTTTGCTACAGTCAATTTTTATAAGAAGCCTAACTCTAAGGCCATTTAGATGGGCACCCCAGAGAGACTTTCTTATTAAAATTCCATAAATAGTTTAAATAGAAATTCTGTCTCTGTCATCTACATTGATTAAATATAAAATATACGATGTTGCAATGTCTGCTAGTGATTTATTCATCTGAGTTAATTTCTCGCGTCTAGACAATTTTCGCTGTGACTGCAAGACCATTTCTTTCCAGTGAAACTTTCACAAAGTGCATTCCATATTTTCGGTTCTCAGACGGTGCGGTGATGCCGGCGCGAAAGAGCCCGTGCCCGCGAAAGTCTACTTGTTCTTTTCTCTCTTGTAGAACGAAAAATCTTGGCCGCAACACTTCGACGACGGCCGTGCGTCTCTTTGGCAAAACATACCTTCGCGATTCGTTGTTCCCAATGTGCGCGGCTTCTTCTGTCGAGCCTCCGATCGCCGATTTCCTCAGCGCCACGAATTATCATCGCCCATCGCGGATAGAGCCGCGTTATCAGCGTTTAGTTCGCACGCGTGTAATCTAAATCTACACACTAATATCTTATTATACTTAGCTAACGGTGGACGCGCGCGCGCGAGCGGAAAACTCGAGGTTCTCGCGTAGCCGCTCTCGGCCGGGTTATCGTTGTATTGTTTCCGCTTGTCTCTCCTTGCATAAATATAGTCGAGCAAACAGGTATACTAGAACTTGTAGGATTTACATTTTGATTGGACCCCGATACCTTCGGATTCTCACGACCCGTTTCTACGAATCCTCCTGCCAAAGTAGGCAGATCTCCCGCAAAGTAGGTAGATTTATTCTGTCGTCGTTGCTTTCACACACGACAACGATCGTGGAAACTGTAAATTTCTTCGATGTGAATGAAGATAATCTATGTGTCGAAACTCTGAATACAACCAAGTTATGAGAAATGTAACGCCGGTAAAAGCGTGTTATATTGTACGCTCTGGATGTTAGCGCGAATAATTAAATCGTGGCAGGGTAATATTATTTTGCAGTGTAAATAAACATTATTTTAGTCTTTAAAATGTACGTGGTGAATCAAACTTTTCACATCAAACTCGACCTTAAAGGTTTAATTTTAATTACTACGTTTTCACTAATTCCTCCCTTTTTAAAGTCTCAGTTATGCACATTTAATTGATTGAAATTGATATTGAATTGATATTGAAATTGATATTGAATTGATATTGAAATTACGAGAAATACTGTCTCAGCCAAGAGTTGAACTCGGATCTCTCCATTGGCCACGTGTTTTTCGCGACTTTAATAGAAATCAACTACATACATAAGTGAGATTGTAAGAATTAATTAAAATATAATAATTGGGATTCAGGATCGAGTTGGACGTGAAGAGTTTGATTTAGCGCGTACGTTGTAAAGACAGGAAAATGTTCGGTGCGTGTCGAAACATCATTACTTTCTTATAACTCGATTGTTTGCACTAACATACGGCGCTTGGCTGTCACCGGATTTATATTTCTCTTAATTTTAATGAAGATAATATTCGCGCGACGCTTAATATTGCCTCATTTCCAAGCTCACGTTTCTTCAGCATCGTTCGTAATCGGTTCGCTTACGCCACGCCAGAGAAACGTTGTTGCTAATTTACAGACGTTGCGAGACGCTTGAGCGATGATCGCAACGATGTCCACGCCGAACATAGATAACGATGGTTCAAGGATCACGAAAAATGATATGCCGGAGCGATTAATATTTGCACGCGCGTATCACATTCTCGGAAAGTTGTCTAAAAAAGCTTTGCGCACGAGCTTTTTGTCATGTTGGTCACGTCGAATAATAACCGGACGCATCTGCCGAGTTGGAGACGTTGCGAAATATTATGATTGCGCGTTTCCAGCAAACGCAGCTTCCAGAACGTAGCTATTGATTGTGCAAACGGGAAAAAAGGCGGTCGTCTTTTGAACGGACGGCCTCGTTTTCGGCCTCGAGGATTTCTCTCAAGGAGAAGAGCGCTTTAACGCGCTCATCAGTCGACAAAAGGAAACGAATTCCGCGCGAGATCTTAGTTCCTTGTGTACTCCTTTTTTTCACTTGGATACCTCTTCTTCTTTTTTTCTTTTCTCTTCTCGGATCCTCTTCTGTTCACGTCGCCGAGCGTTCATATTGTCCGAGGGATTTATACGACGTAAATCGGATCCTTGCATACCGAGATCCTCGCTTCCTGAAGGATTCTCAGTCTCGGGCCCAGGGGAACTCCCATCTTCTGTAGCCTCTCCTCGCTTAGGTAAGGCAGCTCCACCATCCCGACCTTTTCTTTCTCGAAAGCGGCTGCGTATTTCTACGATTGCCAAAGGTGCCGACAATTCGATGTTATTAAAAGCGCAAGTTCCGAGCGGAGAATAGCACAAGAAAATAACGTAGGATAACAGGAGGAATGGATCATCCTTAAGCCGAGAGAGGACAGACAATACTCGTTATGGAAAAATCTCTAATGACAGCAAAAGGATCTACTGCAAAAGAGGTTCGAAAGACGTCTGGGAAACATTCAAGGAGATTCTTTTGCACACATACATATATACTCAAAGTTCACAAACAAAAACCATCCGCAATTGTTTGCAAAAGCGCGCGCGAGCAATCGTAAGGATCGTGACGTAAGGATTAATGGCGCTCTTACCTCATACCCAAGTTCCCTCAGGAACAGTCTGATGAGCGGCGGCTCCGTGCCGAAGAACTTGGTCAATTTCTTCACTCTCGAAGGATTGGAGAGGGCCGGCAGCTCCGAATCCTTGATCAGAGGCTGCGACTGCGACCTCACCATTGCCATGCTCGTCTGCGTCCTGAGAGCCGCAATCTCGCACTTTATGCTCTCCATTTCCTGCGAAAACCTAACAGTAGTAGAGTCTTGGAAATTCCAGCTCGTTTCGCACTGTAACTTTTGGCGTGTTCTCTCACCTGTATCATCAGATGCTGGGTCCTCATCTCCGAGCTCAGATGGGCCACGGATCTCGCCAATGTCACCACATGCGACTCCAAACGTTGGAAACGCTTGTTGATGCTCTGCACGATCGAGATTATGCCTTATTAGAACCGCAATAATATAATTTCGGATTCTAAAGGTATTGATCAGAGCGCGGCGCGCGCTTCCCGAAGAATTTTCAAACATTTATCCGATCAACGCTCGAATAGAGCGGCACACGTGAGATTGTGAAGTGAATACTAACAAAGTATGCATAAATAAATGTTTTCATGAATAAAAAGAGCGCGGGAATATCATCCATTAACTTTTCTGACCTTGATGTCTTTGGCTTTCTTCATCCTATCATCAATCACGTGGGATCTACGTTTATCGTGGTGCCTTGTGACAGGCCTGGAGGACACGGAGGACGTCGGTAACGACGAAACCGAGCCGTAACTAGTGAGTCCTCTCGCTTTTCGTCTCTTCTTCACGCTTCCGCCCAGCAATTTAAGTACCTGCGACAGTTATTTGCGCATGCAAATTGGAGTGAATTCAATCACGTACCTGCCGCGAGCATCTTTCGGTATATATATCTTTGTTCATTTTTGCGCGTGGTCCCGTTTCATCGCGGGGATTGTAAAGTTAAAACATATCTGATACTTTCAAAGTTGGGTATAAGATAGATGTCGATTGCCTCGTCTTGATTATTATTTTGTGTGTTAAAGTAAATTATCAAATATACATATATTTTAATTGCTAGTAATATAATTCTTCACGCCTGATCAAGTACGTATTTTTCCTCTTATTCAAATTTTATTTAAAAGATATATATTCTAATGAAATATATTTTGATAATCGTAGTAAAAAAATGTCTTTCTCGAAAAAAGAACTACTATAAAAGTAGCGAATTATTAAACAAAAAAATATCGATAAAATAATACTTACTTCACTGTACATATTTTCTAAGCCTTCCAACTGTTTTCTGATCGTTCTCGCGTCGGTGGTACTGAGATCGGAATCGCTTCTGTCTAACATAGAATCTAAATCGAGGCCCGTCGTGGTGGATGTTAAATCGGCTGTTTCCACTCCAAAAACTGAAAATTAAAAGTCAATATGTACGCTCGGTAAGAACGGTCACCACTACTATCAAATCAATGAATTAAAACGATATTGCTACAATTGCGACTGCTTATTTATAAACGGTTCTAAAACGTGCTAACGTGACGTCCATGCAAGTCGTAATTTTAAGAAAATACTCGTCAGCAAAATTAATACTCACGGTGTGAAAACTTCTTTGCGGCTTCCTTTTTGGATGTCGACGCGCCACGGTGTTTGGTGCCGCCCGAGAAACCTCTCTTCTCCATAGCCTTGCTATAATCGCTGTAATTTGGTTTCGATCCATATGGTAAACTAAAATTTTTACGAAGAATTTTCTTGTTAATACTATCGAGTAATAAGTCATTGTCATGCATCGAGTAGTGGCGGAAAATATTAAATCGTAACTAAGAGTCACTCAAAAGAGATAATTGAAAATCTAAATAATAAATTTAGAAGTCATGTGGTATATATATTTACCAATATTAGTAAAACTGTATATTTACTAAATTTAATATTCATTTAATTTAAGTAAATAATGTTTATATATATAATTTCTTTACTTAATTATAGTAAACTTATGCATAAATATTAGGAAATAGCTTTCTCTCTCTCGATCTCTCTTTTAAAATGTTTATTTGAATTTAATTCCGGTTTATTACAATTAACATCTATTGAAATCTAGCAAATGAATTTATCAAATTTAGAATCTGAAAGTTTTTATTAAAAAAATGATATTTTTGAAAAATTTTTTTTAAATTTATATTCTCAAACTGTCAAAAATAAGAAATATAATGTATCTCTAAAAACGTAAATAATTTTTAGTACAATTTTTTACTTTTCAGAAAACATATACATCTCTCTTTCTCTCTCTTTTTCTCTTGAATATTATTAACAAATTTAATTTTACTATTTTATATTCTATTACAAAACATAAATGGAATCCCCTGAATAGGGGTTTTTTAGGAAGTAAATATGGGACTTATTTATAAATCAAAGTGAGATCATGTATAATGCGAAACATTACTGATTCAAAATCCAAAGTCTGACCCGAGTTCGGTTATAATGAGGTAACGGAATTTGTTAAATAAAATATAAGTAATATTGATTAAATGATGCTTAATTGAGAAGATTTCAGGCAAAATCATTGCCAATACTTTAAGAACGACGTAATAAAAAAAAGTAATAAATAGAATTTTGATATAAAAAAATAAAAGAATACTCTATCTCTGAAAGTGAATATTTTTTAATTTATGTACAATATTTTTTATATTTAATAAATGATTTATTTAATGGCAAGAAATATTTTCTTTAAATAAATTAATTAATTGCTTATTAAAAGAATACGTTTATAGTTGTATGCAAACTAACGGTCTACAAAAATTAAAAAAACTTTCTTCTGTTTAGCAAATTTTTTTCTCAGTGTAGATAACGGTATCGTCGTATTCTTTACGATTTAACGCGTACATACGCGAAAAAACGCGTTTATCTATCGTAATATATCTAGATATTTCGAAATGAAGGGACAACAATTACGTGGAGTCTGGTCACGGGCAAAAGTGATATCCTTTTTTGCAAATAATTAAACGCCTACGAATCAATTGTCCGTTAAATTAATATTTCACGCGAGTCCCTCGACCGAGTATTTAGAAGCCGTAACGGAGAGGCGTTTATTTTTAACGCCGCGGTGGCGACTTTTCGGCCAGACACCGGAATTTCGATCTGTCAGGAGGAGGATAACAAAATCGGAAGTGGCTCGGGGCAGTGACCGGAAGTAACACCGGTTACGCGAAGAAGAGAGACCTGTTTGTAGTCGGGTTACCTCGTTGAGTATCGATTTCTCGACGTACGCGGGCTGCCATGGGGTGACAGCGGCGGCAGAGGTGGTGTCACCGAGGATACACTTTCGGACAGGGTGGAATGCGCCATCGCTGGAACGTCTCTAGGCTCCAGAATACTCCGCAACTCCGACTCCACTATGTCGACCCATTCGGAATCTTGAACTGCATGAAAAAGAAATATGGACGTGGTAAATTCCATGAACGCGGAGGGATCGATGCGCGATACTTTGTCCGAAAGAAATGAAGAAATACAGAATTGATAAAGAATAATTTGCCGTGGTCATGCAAGAATAATCAAACTCATATAAAATACGTTTTGAGAAAAATGAAAATGATTTGATACATGATTTAAAAAGTATAGATAGCACTGAAGTTCAGTGCTGCAATCGTTCAGCAAGTCAAGTATGGTTAATTTCTTTCTCTTTAAGGATATCCATTGACAAACTTAAAAGAATAGGTAAAAAAGACGCAACTAGTAAGTAATTAGTAGAAAATAAAAATTATTTTTTAATTAATTTTAAGTATCCATTTGGATCTTTCTTGTTTTTAAAAATGCAGAAAGACGTTTGGATTTTACCTTAATAAAACAAGAAATTAGAAATAATAATTTTGTGAATAGTTCTCTGGTGTTGATCTTGCATAACTAAGGCCAATTGTAAAAAATTTGGTGAAAAATGACTGTCTCCTCAATAGAACACATGAGATTATTGTTTTTTTTGCAACCGAAAAGGGAAATTATTACAAAACAGAAGATGATATGAGACAATTTGTCAAATTGGGCTAGTCTGTTATCGTCTGATGCTCTAATAATTTATTATTATACATCAGTTATTATCAAGAATTCAATGTATACAAGAGATTTAATTTAATTTAATTTAGTGCCATTTTATAAAAAGCCAAGGCTGCAAGAAATCAAAAACCAATAAGAGGCAAATGCCAGCGACTACGTGAATGACAAACCAAAGAGACATGCCGCTAACATTTTCCACTTACAATCGCGTTGGGACCAACTTTGGACCCTTATCAATGTCAAGTGTACGTAGATATGCATAGGAGCGCATACAAAGGGCAAAGAACAAGAGAAGCTTGCCAAAAAAAAACCACAAGTCCAGCGCGTGACATGAAAAACGATGTCCCTGGCGCGCTGAGAATAATCGCGGAGGTCGTGTTAATTACTTTTATAAAGCTTTATGAGACAAGCGACGCGGAAAGAATATGGTTGCGAGCAAACGAAAAATGTCCATTACAGTTAAGATGTCTCAGCTCTCACCTTGCGCCAAAGTCTGGTCGTCGGGCGGCGGGCGTCTTCCGCTCGAGTAAACCGCGGAACCCCTTCCGGAATCGACATTCGAAGAACTCTGACCCGCCTTGTCGTAATCCGAGCCCGAGCCTTGATTCTGAATTTTCAGTCGACCGATACCCTGCTCCAAGTCGTCTTTCCGGCTATCCGCTTTCACGGCGACTTCCTTCGCGCTATATTGTCCAGCCTCCAGTCGCTTCGATGCCTCGCCGATCATCTTTGTGGCCAGACCGACCCTTAGACCCTCCGCGTCCTCCTTGGCAGACTTGGAGCTGAAATGGCCGCCCTCCTGCTCCGCTCGCTTCTGCAACTCCTCGATCCTCTTCTGCACCGAGTTCCCCTCCGACGGGTCTTGACCTCCTCCTCCTCCTCCCTCTTGACCTGACGAGCTCTGCTCGTGATCCCTCTTCGAGGTCCGCGTCTCATCCCTCCGAATGCCAAAGCTAGTTTCCGGCCGGTACTCCTCGTTCCTCTGTGAGCCGTTCCTGCCGGATTCACCCTGATTTCGATCCTCCACCGTGATCTCGTATCTGAAACACACAGTGTCCCTTAGAGTTCCACTTCAGTATCCACTAGAGTTATCGCGTATATTGAGTTTAGTCCTCTCGCACGTCGGGTATCTCGCCCTATGTGTGTTTGTGTGGATCAAGAATAGAATTTTCACGAGATAAATAGTTCGGGAAGTACTTTTGAGGGAAACAGTTTCTTCCTCTCTGCAAACTGATAAAACTCTTATCGCGATAGAGCCCTTGATTATCTCTAATCAGTTTAGACTTTCCGATTGTTCTTTCAGGTATTCGGTCACAGGGGTTTTGATAGATAGTCGACGTAATTGTTCCGAAATCCTACCTCTCCTTGTCCAGCGGATCCACAGTGAGATTCTTCATATTCTCTATGGGATTCTTGGAGGTTTCGGCGTTCCGCTCGTCTTCGTAGCAAAGCTGTGGTTGCGAGGCCGCCTTCTCGATACCCTTGGCGGAGTTCCGCCTCTGAAATTCGGCTTCCTGATTGCTTTCGGTCTTCATGTACACTTGGGGAATACCGTATCGCGGTCTGCCTTGGGCGTAGTGGTAGTAAACCTCTTGGCCCGACACACGCAGCTCCTGCGTCTGTCGGGACGTGCTCGGCAAGTCGATCTGCGACCTCGACATGGCCTGCCTGGCCTGCTGGTACTGTTGATAAGAGACGCTGTTGGCGAAATACGACTGCTGCACGCTTCGCGGGCCCGCTGTTTGCGCGCCTTGCTGTCCCGCCATTTGTTGTTGGTGCATCTGTTGGATCAGCTGACGCTGATGCATGTTCTGAGCATGTTGCTGCGCGAACCGCGGACTTTGGTGATGGTTCTGGTTCTGGTGAAGCAATTGCTGCGGGCTCTGGTAGCTCTGACTCGTCGGCGACATCGTGTTGCTCACCTGATGCTGCTGCACGGATAGGCCGTGGGCCTTTTGCACCTGCGTACCTTGCCCCTGAACAATTCAAGTGAAATATTAACAGTGAGTATTAGAGTTTTGTCCACGAGTCGTAGACACGATTGCGTTAACGCGCGTCTTTGTTCTTTGCGAGTAGCGAATGATACGAGTGTTTTGAGTTGACATAGGTGGCTCATTGCTTTCGACAAATAAGATTATCCAACTTCGTTCAAAGCATTGATGGTTTTTATAAATAATAAGAAACAAAATATGCATCGACTTGGTATTCCCTTTAGACATCTCACATGATTTTTTTATTTGCTGTTTAGGGGAGAGTTACCAAAATCGTATTACCGGTCTTTCGACTTACCTGAAAAATCGTACTTTATCAATTTTTTTATTATTATTTAACATTATTATTTAACGACATCTAATGGTAAAGAAAATGAGAAGTAAGTAAACGATGAGAAGTATAAACAAAAGATTTTTAGATTACATTTTATATTTTGTGCGTGCTACAACTACTTAAAGATATCCGGCACGATTTATGAGACTGTTACGCGATTTCGGCGTAACTCTCCCCTGATAATCAAGTACTATCATACAGTCGTCTATTCTAATGCTTGCAGTGTATTTAGTGTATCATGTCATTATATATGGCGGTTTCATTTCTCGAGAATGGTCAGTTGAATCGATTTCACAGGCTTCCTCGTCAGATTTCCGTGAGTAACAATGCAGAAAGTATTAAGACGCGTGATTACGAATGTTACGGCGCGTTATTCGCCGGCGAGTTAGCGTTGTGTAACGCGACATTACGTGTGCCCGCTACATCGTTGTAGCCGGCCGTCATTTAACAAATTAAAATGTCGACGGGCGCGCACAACGGACTAGACGAGCATTAATCACTATACACGGGGCGGACGGAATAGCTCCGTGAGGTTTGTCACGCTATGTTACTCTGTGTCGTATTAAATTTCGTGTATTACACCGCACAGTTTAACGTTGCGTGATGGAGTAAAGGTAAGACGCGGTCGCTCGGACGTGGCTACGTTGTTCTTACTTGATTTGAATTTATATGGAGGAAATGTCACCGGGAAGTGACGTATGACTAGCCGCGAGACATTTATTTTTCCGCCCGTCGAGGTGGAGTCTTCCTTTTCCCGCGCACAATATTCAAGACGAGTATCCACGTCCGCTTGACAACGCCAAGAATATAATGCATCGATAGCGCCTCCGCGTGTGATACGTTTCGTCCAAGGATGAATAGAATACATAGAATATTTCTCTATAAAATAGAACCGCGTGTAGATTGGAGGTTCTCTCTCGTAAAATATATTTCTCTTTCGTGCAGTTAGATTCAATTCGATTTCATGATATGCGATATCGTTATTTTATTTAATTAGATTTAGGCATGGAGAAAGAGAGAATGTGACGACTTAATCGTCGAAATATACATCCAAACACTCAAAACCAATATACAAAATAATAAAAAGAAAATTAATTTATAAGAAATATCGTGCGAATTGTTTTTAATTATATTTTGGGGATCTTTGATATCAAGCTGCGCTCTATATATTCGCTCGCGGTCTTTGCTGGAGCAAGACTGGCATGTCGCGTTATGTCTTTCGTTTCTCTGGCATCGCGGCATGTACCTGTCCCTGCGCGGGATTCTGGTGGATTCCCTGATGCATTTGCTGGCCGGTCATTCCGCCTGGTGTCTGAACCACGTACTCCCTCGTAACGTTTTGCACCTGCTGCGCACCTGTCGCGGTTTGGCCGAAAGCGGGAACCTGGGTTTGATGAACTGTTTGAACTCCTCCCGGTGGAGTGTGGTGGGTCACGTGAAGCTGAGCGCTCTGTCCTGGCAAATTCGGCTGAATGGTCGCAGTTGGCTGCAGTTGGCCTGGCAGAGGTACGTTTTGCTGGCCGCTTTGATAGCCGTACGAATGGCCGTACTGACCTGCCGAGACATTATTTCAACTCGTCGCATTATTACCGCAAGCGCAGCAATTTTTTAATTATGCCCATCTGATTAAACTTTTTATCGTTATTATATTATTTTATTATACAATTTTATTATTAATAGGCAAGACAAAGGGTCCGAGTTAAAGTAGTGTAAAATGCTCAATAAAGAAATAAAAGAACGTTCAATCGTCACGGGTGCAAATCTTTTCGGTGTAAAGTGCGATTTCCAATTTCGGTCATGGAATAAGTTATTCTCTTTTGTTCACACACGTTGAACACTCAAAGGACGTAAGGTATTCATTTGTAATGGACATTTGTAATGGACATAGTTAGAGATCTTCTAGTAAGAGATGCGCAAACTTCGGTTGTTTGCAAGAATATGGCGGCTTCCATGTGTGACATGTGTTGATATGTTTATGAATATATATATATATATATATATATATATATATATATATATATATAAAAGATTAATATATATAGAATATATAAATTGCTGATAATTAAGGTAATATTAATGCAATGTTATAATAAAATATTATTTCACATAAATTGTAAAATAATATATGAAAATTGAAAATATTTTAACATAGTCATATTCACATAGGAGATATCTGAAGTAAAATATAATGCCAGGCTGTTGCAAATGTTCTAAATTGTAAAAATTCTGCAGCAAAAGGGTTTTCTGTTTTACATATCTATAAATTGATTAAATTCAGTTTACATAATTTATCTTCAATTTTAATTAATTTATTTTTACCGTGCCTTTATCAATAAAATACGATTATTTCATTGGTACCATATTCTTGCAAAGTCGGCCAATCCTGTCGCACTCAAAGATTGCGCATCTCTTACTAGAGGATCTCTGAATGTAATTGACAGTGCCAAGTAAAAGAAGCACGTCGAGCAATATGATACAAATCAAGATTATTTCAAAATGTACGTCGACGATTCGAAATGAAAGACCGGATGTTCCTTGTGAAAATGAAAATTAAGATAATAATAATAGCTTTATGTAAATGATAATAATTTGATCTCTGTTCGCGTCAAATGCAATAAAAAAGAATAAGTTATTCGTATCATCAGAGACAGAATGTCACATTTTACATCGAGAAAGTAAACTTTTCAGACTATGTTGATTAAGAAATCTTTCCTACTTCCAGCGTATATTACATACTTCCGAGATGGCACACGGAAAGAAAACTTTCGTATAATTGAATGGCGAAAAACTCCCCAACGAGAAATAACATCGTTGTTATTATGACCGGAAAATATTCGTCCGAATATTCAACTGCGTTAAAAGTCGCTTGAAATAACTTGGGAGCAATTGGCTGAGCAGAAGAAACCTTCTGTAGCAATTATTCCCACAACCGAGTTTTTCATCTGGTTCCCAGATAACAAAAAATTCTGCACTAACGGAGTTGCTTCTTCCGTGTGCCTCTTCGCAACATTTCGCACGTGAATTTGGTTACAATCATATCGGTCATATTTACGATGCGAAATAACGTTACATACAGGGTGTCCGGTAACTCACATCGCAGCGGCAGTGTAGATTAGGTCAAACTGAACAAACAATTCGTCTACCATTTTGCGAACAACCACGTAAAATTCTCAAATTTCAAGCGATCAAAGAAGAGCAGTAATGAGCTGTAATGAGTCTGTATACTAGGTTAAACTGAACAAAAAATCCTCTCTTTCTCTCTCTCTTTACATTTTCCAAATAATTACGTACATGTTTAGTTATTACTTACAGAAGTTTGATGTAGATTTGTGCGCGCTAACGCCACCAATCTTTTTAATTAATAGTTAAACATTTATATGGTTCTTTGGAGAATGGATTTTCTGTTCAGTTTGACTTAATATACAAACATACAGCGGCAGACATTGCCATCTAGCTCATCTACAGGGTGCGGCGCCAAAATCCGGACAAGTTATACATTTTTTCTAAACATATTTTTTATTGCAAAAACGAAAAGGTTTACAAAATTTTTTAAATCACATTGTTTGTAAGGCCATAAAGAACACATTTACTCAATATATCCCCCGCTTGCTTGAATAACCGCCTCCATTTTCGGTCTGAAGCGTGCACAGGCGCGCTTTAATGTGTCATGGTCCATATCGGTGAATGCCGCTTCAATAGCGGCTCTCAATGATGCGATGTTTGGATATATGGACTTGTTTGTAACCCTTTCAACTACGCTCCATACATAGAAGTCCAAAAAATTCAAATCTGGGCTGTTGGGAGGCCAGAATTCTTTCGACCAAAACATATCGACATTGTCCGACAACCAATTTTGCAACAAATGACTTGTGTGGGCGGGCGCACCATCCTGCTGGAAAACATACGGCTTTCCAGACGACACAGTTTCCATGCACGGCTTCACTACATTTGTCAGAACACGCAAATAAACTTCTTTGGTGACATTTTCCCCTTTGTTAAAGAAATGCGGTGGCATGACATCACCCTCCCTGGATACAACATCTAGCACGTGAACATTCGCCGGAAAAAACCTTCGTTGGACTTCTCCGACTCATTGTACTTTGCGATGACATCATACACAGTCAATCTCGGGTACCCGAAGAACCGAATGATTTTTGTCGCCGAGCGCCCAGCGCGAACACTTTCGATAATCGCGGCTCTTCAGTTATACTCCGCACTTGGTTTCAACATTGCGACTGTTGAGCTTATGATGGTTTAGTACATGCGTCAAGCTATTTAAACGCTAATCGCGACATATACCAGTGGTATAGAACGACGAGAATTTCAAATTGAATTTTGTCCGGATTTTGGCGCCGCACCCTGTAGCGCGTGATTATTCATGAATCTTCTTGAATATTTCAACGAATCTTCTTGAATAATTCAAAATTTTATGTAGTTAACAAATTACAAAATATTGAAGTGGGTTCTCTTAAATATTCAATTAATAAGAAAAATTTATAGGCAAATGAAAGTCAAAATGCCGACGGAGAAGCGGATAACAGCAGCAGTAAATAGATCAAATTGATCTGAAATAGTGATTATATTCTTTGTTTTCGATGCGAACTTCAAGATTATTTTGTGTGTTAGGCAACATACATAATGTTTAAGCAGTTATATTAACATTGCACTAATTATATATTATAATTAATCTTCTCACACTGAAGAGGGTTCGAATATAGGACTGAAATATTTGTAAAATTAATAAATACAGTTGAAGTTTCATCTACTGCTGCTATCCGCTTTTCCTTCGGCGTTTCTTATTTGCCTAAAAATTTTTACGTAGTTATTCGCAAAATGGTAGAGAAATTTTTTGTTCAGTTCGACTTAATCTATCTGTCCACCATGGCTCCTTCGTGAGTTATCGGACAACCTGTATTTGCGATATAACGAATTCCGTCGAGCTAAATCCGCATCCGCGGACATGAACGCAATTCGCAGTGTTACGCGTCACGTCGGCTATTCGTGAAATTGAGACATAGCTAACGCGTTGCATCGTGCGAGGCGCTACTACAGAAATGCTAAAATGCCTAGTATATGATCGCACGAATACGCGATACGTCACTGAAGTTAATTAAACTCCGAGTTTCCCTTCTATTTACGCGTCAAGCTTGAAACGCACGTTTCACGAACGAATTATTATAATTGCAGAAATTACAGCAACGCGAAAGCTTTCAAACGCCGAAAGGCGTACGAGAATGTACAGTCCGACCAAATCTGAAATAGCAAACCGAGTATCTCGTAATCAATGCATTAACATTTCATCAAGCGCAAACATTCTCAATAAAAACGGCTACCAGTCCAAACTGTCGTTAGCCACATGCTCAGTCATTTCTTTTCCGTGCTAACCACGTCACGTCACCTCGTCACGCTAAATCGATAATCGATAACTTTATGTAATCCTTTCGCTACCAGCGGAACATATGTTTTCCGTATCATTAACGATAACCTTGTTTACTTGAACAGCTATTATATTGTATAGCCACTAAGGTAAAGATTTCCGGATTTCGGATACGCACGTAATCTTGGACATTTTTATTGTTTTAGTCTTTAAATATGAACATTTAAATTTTTAATATGGAATGTATGTATACACTTAATATATTATTATATTATATTTTCTATGTTAAAAGTTTAAATATTTGTGTTTAAAGACTAAAACAAGAAGAAGTTAGGTACGTGTTCGCATTGATACTATTTTATATTGTTATTACTGTTACTCTATCTATTATATCGTGTTGGAGAACAAATATGTCCTTCCAGAAAGCCTATAATAAATTATCAGCGACTCGGCCCTATCCTTTTGGCGCCAAACATGAACCTTAATAATTTTTATAATTTTTTATAATTAATATATTGTAATTTTTTTATTTAAGTTACATTATATTAATGCATTTAATGAAATAAAAGTAAAAAAAAATTATATTAAAAAAAAATACAAAATTGGTAGCAAAAGAGTTGAACCTTCTTTCGCGGAAGAGCGACGGACCTTCTATGCCGACTTAATCATAGACGATTCTCCTTTTTTTCTTTTTTACGAACGTAGCGCTTCGAGGAGTTGTGCACCGCAGGAAAAACCGTTGTGCACGTTTCGCTCTATGCGCAATGCGCGCGCACACCGTTGCTTCGCGTTCATGGCAAGCGCGATTTAACGAGAGAAAAAATCCCGCTTCTTCTTAATTAATCAACAATTATGGACTAATTAACGGAACCTCGCAGCACGAGCGGCTGCGCAGCACGATTGTCCGCGACTTACCGTAAGCATTTTTAGGATATTGCTGCGTGTTCACCGACGGCTCTTGCGCGCGCGGCTTCCCGTAGATCCCTTCCTTCTTCCTGGCCTCGTCGTCGTCGATGCTCCTGCTCGATTTTCGCAGCTCCTCGGTGACGTTATTGAGACTCGCTTCCGGTTCCGGCTCGACGTCCTTGCGGCTCGGCCCGAAGCGACTCGAGATCATGTCCTTAATGGTATGGTAGGTCCTAGACAACGATTTCGTCTTCTCCTCGTCGATCTTCGTCGTCGTGACAGTCGTCGTCCTCGGCACAGCCCCGCTCGATCTAACGGAGACGACGATCAGAGGCTTCGATTTGCTCGTCCAATCCCTCGGGAGTGTAATTAGAGCGACGTGCAATAATATCGATCGCGTATCAAGATTGCCGCTAACGATCGGCAGGTGGTGTAGTTTATTTTATCTAGCGATTATAGGTGTGCAGAGATACGAGACAAGCAAGTTCCCGAAGTCAATCACGAACCGTTCGTGGTATCGCGTTTCAGTAGGGTTTATTGAGAGGTTAAGAAACTCTAAATTGCGGAACTCATTGCGAACTAACTTCTCGAATTTTTCATGTTCAAAATCTTCGAGTTTCTTTAGCCTCCTGTGTGAAACACAGATTCGAAATTTACTTCAATATGGCGATCCACATACTGAGAAGAAAATGTTTGGCATTTGCAACTATATAATCACATAGAGAAATAATTACTGGAGATTATGATAAAAGTATTTTTTTATTAAATTCTACTGTAACGTTAGTGATAATAACCTTATGTACATGCTGCTATTTTTATGTTAAAATTATGTTACCATTTTTACGTTAGAACTATCAAAAGATATGAGCCAAAGACAACTATAATTTTAGTCAAATTTTAGATTAATTGTATTTTTCTCTCAGTGTAACGATGACTCAACGCGTTAGTGGTCATAATTAAATATCTTTTCATTTCCAACTAGAACGTAGAATTATTCGCGTTATGCAATTGAATCAACCTTTTGGAAGAACATCTATTGCTACATTTCATTTCCTTTTACCATCGACTATATTCCACAGTTTGAATTTCTACACTGAGAGAAAAATTATCTTAAAATCAACAAATATTCCCTTGGTGGGTGCCATTAACATATTTACTTAAATCTACATTCTCTTTACTTAAATCAAATATTATTTATTTAAATCAAGTAAACAATATTTGATTTAAGTAAAGAGAATGTAGATTCAAGTAAATATGTTAATGACACACACCAAGGAAATATTTGTTGATTTTAAGATAATTTTTCTCTCAGTGTACGTCAAATCGCTGGCCTGACTCGATTCCTGACTCGATTTGACCTGGTTATGCAATAAAATTTACGTAACCCCAAGATTTAGTATGTTTTGCCCGATTTTACTTCGTTTGTGGAAGGCATCCTTACGAGGCGCGAAACGCGCGCGAACGTAAAACAAGCGAAATACTTACGAGTAGGTGTCCTGTGACTGATAATTTCTCGCTTGGCCGTCCTGTCTCACTTCCTGCATCTGAGTTCCCTGAAGAAAGAAGCACACGGGAAAATAAAGGAATAAATAAAGATCACACGAGCGCTCGATTATGAGCGTGCATCGTTAACGGCCAGAGCACGCATCGTTCGTAAAATACTCCCTGCAGAGGCATAAATGATGGGGCGTATAACGTCCATAAATTCGCTAACTTCGCAACAGCGCTTTCGTTAGACGCGACCAATTAAGCCGTCAAACGAGGAATACATAATGACGCATCGGCATATAGCGTAGCTAAAAACACAACCGCGGCGTTGGAAAATGGCGCTCGCCAACCACGTCGAAGGAACTCGTGTGTCGATTAAAACAGCTGAGCAACGAGCAGACGAGAATTAATTAAATAAACTTGCGCTCCCGGTCGCCGTGCTAACGAATCGACGTATCAAATTATTTGCGCAGCGAGCGTATATTAATTTATCTACACGCGTGGCACGAGCCGCAGTGCGGCTCGCGAGTAACTTCGCGCTGTTGGAGAATGCTCGAGGAAAGTTGTGCGTCGCGCAGTTTTGTGTGCCAAAAAGCAACGAGAATCACACGCGAAACTCTCACGATAGGCAATCAGCGATTTATTGCGCTACCGATTTGTAGGCCGAGAGAGAAGGGGAGATACTGGTAGACATTAAAAATGTCATGTTGCGTCGAATAAGCGAATCGCCAAAAGTCGAACCTCTCAAGTATTTTTACTGTCATTTTTATGTTATTTTTATGGCCAGATTTTATCGCCAGAGGAGATTTTTGCGTGTAACTGTATGGCGCGTTTGTCAATTTTGTTATTAAAATTACGCGCTCATTATAAGCGCTACGTTATTTCGCGCAAAATTCGTCGACTCCACCTCGACAAGCGATTCATGGCGCAAAGCCGGCGTGCACTTATGACATAAGCAGTATCCCAAACTCGTCTAACTCTCAACGAGCGGAACTCATCTAAAGTTTGCTCCTGGAACGCACTTTCGTCGAGGATCGTTTAATAAAAGGCGAGGACTTCGTAGAAATAATGCGCCGTTACTCTAACGCTTATTGGTTCGCAGCCCAGCTGTAGAAAATTATGTTGAGTCGAATATTTCCACTGGCGCATTATATATGTAAAATTAATCTTTCCCGCGTATAATTAATATTTTTTGCAGTATATATAGTACGATTTATCTGTAGTATCTGTCGGGCAACTTCGAGCTGCCAAAGCTTTGTTGAAAATCAAAATTTTTGGGCACATTTGTTCCAGAAATATAGAAAAGCTTTAACTGCAAGATGGTGGCAAAACAAAATCAAAATCTGCAAATAGACTTGCCATTTATTGTAAAATGGCAAAAGATTCTTTATGAAATGAAAAAAATTACTTTTTCTTTATAAGGTTGATTATGAGATCAAAATTATTTCTAATTAAGATATTGAAATAAAAAACGGAGTTTTACTGAGAATGCCTTCTTGATGAAACATTGGCATTGTAAGATTTATTAACTTTTTACAAGGTATTTTGTGACGCTAGTTTTAAAACATTAATTTTTTAATAAAAAACCTGTGTCTCCATGTTTTTATCGATAACTACACTAAAAATGGACAAGTGTGATATTTTTTTAATGCATAAACTTCAATCTGTTCAGTAATTTTTATTAGAATAGACTCTTTCTGAAAGTGTAAATTTTGCACCCGGTTAGAGCTTATTATGTTTTTAGCGTATAACACGAAAAATTTTTTATTTATCAACGTATTAAGAAACTTGTAAAAATTGATATCTGTTTGAGACATGATGAAAAGTTACGTGATGTACAATCTTGGGTCTGAGCGATCCAAACAAGATTTCAGATATATTACTCGGCTATTTTAAACTGCCTAACGGTCAACTACGCTTCTATGTATTCTAGAGACCCTAAAATATTTTTTTTCAGATAGGTGGTGTCACACTTTTCCAAAACTCTTTACGAAACTTGCTGATCAAACATTGGTTCGGGCTTTATTAACCCAATATTGTATGTGGAATGTTAATAATATCTACACTGAGAGAAAAATGTTTAGTATTTATAACTATAATCATATAGAGAAATAATTACTATAAATTATGGTCAAGACAATCATTTTTTAGTCAATTGTACTATAATTTTAGTCATAATAATCTTATATGCATGTTGCTATTATTATCTTCGTGTTAGAACAACCAAAATAGTTTAGTATAATTTGAATCTAACCATATTTTTTGGTTGTTCCAACACGAAGATAGTAGTAATAACATGCATAAGATTATTATTACTAACAATTATAATACAATTGACTAAAAAAATGATTGTCTTGACCATAATTTATAATTATTTCTCTGTATGATTATAGTTACAAATACCAAACATTTTTCTCTGTGTATGTGTATGTGTATGTGTATAAAATAGAAAGTCTCTCTGTCTATATATTCCTTATACACTGCTAAACCTTTAACCAATTTGGACCAAATTTTACATAATTACTTTCTAGGATTCTACAAAAAGTAAGCTCGTCATGAAACCTGGACACCTCACTCCCTTGATTTCATCCCCTTGACACTGTGATAGTCCAGATAACGCCGGATGTAGTTTTAACTAATATATATCAATATACATATAATAATAAACATCTATATTAATAAACTATCAATAAACTAATATCAATAAATAAATCAATCTATACTAATAAACTATCAATAAACTAATATCAATAAAATGTGTCTACTTTCAATATATAATTAATATATATTCTTACAGATAAGAGCTTAATTGTTAGGTAACACACGCAAAGACGACTCGTCTTTCGGACAGATGTCATCGAAACAATTCGGCCCATGGAGAACACTAAACCCATTCCTCCCGAGGAGAACACTAAACGATGTTTCGAAACAAATTGCGCGCCACACGCGGTGAACGGGAAATCAAGACAAACGTTCCGCCAAACGTATACATATGAGTAGACTCTAAAAATGTCACAGCCGGCATCGCACAGCAGGTGGGACTTAATTTACGCGGGGTGTAAGAAAGTAAATCGCGCGCCCAATTAAATCCCCGGAGTACATCGATCCACCGGAGTAGCCGGAATTTTACGGAACTCAACGGCACTAAATTGCACGAGGATGTCCACGAGACTTTGCGGACTCCGTCCACGGAGAGGCCGGAAATCAGCGATCTGAATTAGCTGCCGTAGTAAACTGTGCGCCGTAAACTTTCCATCGCGCGGAGATCGTTGTTCAGGGGAACGGCACCGTTATAAATTAATACACAGTATTAATTTTCGTCGCCCCTCTCCTCCCCCCACCTCCTCCTGTGGCGACACGCGAAATTACGAACACGTTACGACGGTGTGTCGCGAGCAAACGCGACGAAGATGACTCGATCCGGCTCGGCTGTATAATGGTTGGCAACGGTGGTCGTAAAATAAGATGATACGCTATCGAGTCTCCAGAATCGAATACAATTCCCTTGGAAGGAGGACATCGACTAACAGCCGTGCCCGCGCACGGATCTACGTATGCATGCGTGTATGTGTGTACCTCAGCGACGATGGAGAATTTCAAAGTTCACGCACTGAATCCTACGGTTCTTAGGAAGAGATGCGCCTGGAATAACAACGGCCGCGTAGGGCACCACGAGCACGGATCGTGCATACGGAAGAGGCTGTCTGACTTATGGCCACGCCGATATTGTAGCCGGATTACCGTAGTCATGCGAGAGAGAGGGGAGAGAGAGAGAGAGAAATCACAATCAATCTCGTGTATGAGGCTGCTCTTTGAAAAATTACGATCTCCTGACGCGCGTTCGGGTACGAAATTTTTATTTCTTTTGCTTTTTATATAAAAGGAAGCATCCTTAGCGAGAGAAAGAGAGAGAAAGGAATTTTATGTTCGGCGTATTGATCGTTTTGCAAAGTCGACCAAATGGAAATTGCTCGTAAACAGGCACTGTATAATGACTGCGTTTCACATTTTTCGCATGCTTCTCTCCTCGGATGAACTCTTCCATTTGCGACATTCGCATACGTTGGAAAGACTGCCCTGGTGTCCCAAAAGGCGAGCCATAGAAGGTATATGTCTGGCATTGAAAAGGGAGAACAAGAGGCGGCGAAAGCGCAGCGTGCCTTCCACGAAAGTAGGAAAAAATTTACTTATCGAGTCCTCGTGCCGAGTTGGCGACTCCGAGGTAGCTTCCGGGAAGCACTGGAAATGGGTTTACGAGCTACATGAGACGCCTTTCTTTTTCTCTCTTTCTCTCTTCACCTGGCGCGACGCGACGCTGGGGATCACGTCTGTGACTGATAAGCGTCGCTTGGCCACGATGTGACGCGTCTTATGTAAAGTAGATTCAAGTAATTCGAAAGGCAACGAAAGTTGGTCATGCCGCGTGTCGGAGCGCGTCGTGTTTGTCGGCTGCGTGCGAAATCGTGGCGAGCTTTTCCCTGACTCATCTGATACTCGTAATCCCCGACGACCAGAAGATGATTTCGCGCACTTCATCATCTCCGTGTTTAATAGCGCCGCGGCGACATTGTCGCGGCGAGAAAATGACAGAAACGTCTCAATAAAGATATCGTTGAACTCCGACCTGCGAGAGAATACACACATACATACACACACAGATGAGTGTGAAATCGCCAATATAACAAGAAGATTTATGATCTCTTGCGCTGCGTAAAGAAGTTTCAAGGAACTTTCGAAAAAAATGGCCAGGTAGTGGATTTTTCCGTTGCGAAGATTGGGAAAGTTTAGTAATGAATAGATCGGTTGATCTTAAGACGAAAACGAGCGACGTCGAGAGGGAAAGAGAGGAAATGCGAAACAGCGAATTTATCGCGTCGTTGGTACACGCGATGTACGTGAAAGCCGCGCGAAGAAGTTTCTAAATGGATCGTCCGAAGTACCCCATAAACGGAGAACCATCGCGGAATCAATGGGGATGGTTGCCGATGACTACTCCAGGACAGGTAACTACACAATTCAGCTTGCGCGATCTCGTAAATTATGGGACAGAGAAAAAGAGAAAGAAAGAGAGAGAGAAAGAGATAGGGAAATAGACAGAGAAAAAGAGGGGAGAGAAAGAGATAGATAGATAGATAGATAGATAGATAGATAGATAGATAGATAGATAGA